CCCTCTATTAGCCCCCTGATGTCTCCATAAAATTAACGTGCTGATGCTATCACATAGGGCCTTAATAATCCTCTTGTGATATCAATACATTTAAGTGGGAAAAAGTGTTAAAAAAGTAAAGAATAATAAAATACCGGGGGCCCCCGGTTCAAGACACTATCTTCAAGGAGTTTGCATGTTCTCCCTATGCTTGTGTTGGTTTCCTTCCCTCCAGTTTCCTCCCCACACTCCAAAGACATGCTGGAAGGTTAATTAGGTCCTGTCTAAAACAGCCCTCTATGCATGCAAGATAGGGATCTTATATTGTAAGCTCCTTGAGGGCAGGGATTGTGTAAATTGTCAGCACTATATAAATACCTATAATAAAGAAATAAAAGTAACCTTGCTGCTCCATAAATGCGAATACAAGCATGTGCATGTATGTAAAAAGTGCATATGTAACAAGTGTTATATATCACTGCAGATGTTAGTGTGAGAGCAATTTATGGCCCTAAAAGAGGCTTTCAGGGCCATAAGTTGCTGTTAAATCTAAACTGATGAGCAGCAAAGGCTTTTAAAGCGTCACCTATAGACAATTTTGATGATCATGGCACCCTTTAAGGATATGTAGAATCTGGAGGCAACCCTCTAAAATGTAATGGATTTTAAAAGATGTCCACACAAAAGTGGGGTTCCTCCTTCACATCAACAGGGATCTCAAGTCTCCCTGATGTTCAGGGAGTCTCCCTCTTTTGGACAACAGCTCCCTGATGTCTGAGAGAGAGGCATTTTCTCCCTGAAAGGTTTACTCTGAGTAAAACTTTCCGGTAAGATATCAGTGGGTAAAGTTTCAGAGTGAGGCTTGCCTCCTGGAGAAGGTCATGTGATCTCTAGAGTCGCCCCAGAACGAGGCTTGGCTCTCAGAAGGAAGAAGCTACTTGCTGCACAGAGAGCACTACTATTGAGAGCAGGTACAGGCACTGCTGCAGGGTTGAGAGAGTGCTGTTATATGTCCTGGTTGTCTAGTTGTAGAGAACATGTATTTAATGTGCTGCCCATAGCAACTAGTCAACTGTATATCAGGGACTTTACTCAGTGTTTTTTTAAAAAGGTCTTGGGCTGTCTAATAAATTGTGACCCTTACACTGACAGATACTTGAATATCAATTCACAAATCTGATGTATATATAAATAAATATATAATATTATTGTATTATTGGTATATGGATTTTATTTTACT